TCTATAAGAGACACATCAAAAAAGATGGAGACAAGCTAAGTGTCCATCAACAGAAGAATGGTTAAACAAACTTTGGTATATACACACAATAGAATACTACAAAACAGTGAATAATGATAAATCTGTGAACTATGTGTTGATATAGATGAACCTGGAAGACATTATGATAAGTGAAATTAGTTTGAGACTAATGTTGGAAAAAGTTTAAAAAAAATTTTTTTTTTTCTTTCTTTGATAAAAGAAACAATCTATGATGATTACAAAGGGGAGCAAGAGAAATTATTCATGGGCCAGAGGGTTGTTGTTGTTGTTAAGTGCCGTTGAGTTGGTTCTGACCCATAGCAACCCTGCATAGGGTTTCCAAGGAGCAGCTGGTGAGCTTGAACTGCCAACCTTGCTGTTCAAACTGACTTTGTGGTCCAACTAGAGATTAGACACGTGTTCGCATAATTGACAGGGCAGACAATATATAAGATGGAGGTTAGCAGAGGAACAATGAAGGTAGTGAGAGACACAGGAAGGAATGCAATGTTAAAGTAGATAGAGGTTAAAACTGTTAACATTTGGTACATGGAAAAGATTGTAATCATTGCAATGAAGCAAAGTACATGATCTGTTAAATTTAAAACTGATGATCTGCTCTGTAAACCTTTGTTCAATTCACAATAAATTTTTTTTTTTTAAAAAAGAAAAGAAAGTAACAGGGTACAACTTGGGATCAGGATCAACAAGCTATAATTTGGGATCAGGATCAAGAAACATGTGTGCAAAGTCAAGGCTCCCCAGAAGAGGAGAGCATATCTCTCCTTTCTTCAGTACAGGACCTCTCTCAGCTTCCCCTGACTGTACAAGCAAGCAGGCCCTGCTTTCTGCTGTGCACACTCCCTCTCAGCCATGTAAGCCTCCTCTCAACTCTGCTCAGGACAGGCTTTCATGTCTTTGGCCTTCCATCACCATCAACTGTACCACAGGGCCCCTTCTAGGACTTGCTCTTCTAAAGTCCCTTTCTGGTCCTCTTGCTATCATCAATGCCACAGTCTTTTACCCATGCTATAGCTCTTTTAGGAGGTTCCTTGTCTCCTTCTCCCTGTTTCTTCTGTCTTCTTGCCTTTTCCCCTTTTGCTTCTTTTTTCCTTCATTTCCTGTTTGCCAGAATCTAGGGGTGATGCATATGTAAGGAAATTCCTGGTCATTTTCAAGGCATGCCCCTCCCACCAGAGCCATGAACTACATAGGCCACAGACACTTCATTTGCATAGTAGGTTATAGTCACTTCATTTACATAAATATATTTATCAGTCTTTGCAAGATGTGTAAACTAGATCAATCACAGACTAGCTATAGCCCAGGGCCACACAAAAAATATCAAACTACAAATTGTTTACAGTGTATCCAGGAAATGTCCATCAACCAGAACAAAAGTAACAAAGCCTCTGGGGTAGGACACTAAGGCAAAGGTAACTCCTTGGACTTCGGGGGAAATCTTTCAAGCTATTTTTCCAAAGAACCAAGGCAAAAAAGTCACAAAAAGGAACAAATTTCATCATAAACATTAAGCTCTCATTGGTCTAGTTGCTATACTTGGAGAAGAAGATGCAAAAGAGAAAAACACCAGATCAAGAAACACAGACCTCTGTCCAAGGAGAAAGAGCATGAATAATAATCTAAATACTAGTAATAGTTATGAATTAACCGTAGTTCGTAGTATCTGGCACTTTTGAGCACTTGTGGCATGCTGTGCACTGCTCCTGACATTTGATGTGTTTAAATGCATCTAATCCTCCCAACTGCCCCATCCCCATTTTACAGATAGAATCACTAAGAGGCAGAGGGGATAGATCGCATGTCTTTCTGATCCCCATTTTTGCACACACCAGTATCCGCTTTCTGATCTGGAAGAGTAAGGCACACATTGAAGGCATGTCAGTGTCTCCAGCTAGTCCTAGTCATCAGTGTCTCCAGCTAGTCCCAGTCATCAGAGCCTCCATATTCCCTCTGGGCTTGGCAGCAAGGATGCCAGGACTTGTGGCAACAGAGGCCAACTTTCCAGGAATAAGAAGAGCTCATTTCTCAGTCTCTGGGACCAAGTTGTAACCTGACACTTGCTCATTGTCTTTCACTCTGGATGGTGAGGCTTCATCTTACATACTTTGGACATCATGCTTGGTAAAGTAGAAGGTCAGGGAAAAAGAGGAAACCCCTCAACAAGATGGATCGACATGGTGGCTGCACCAATGGACTTTCACATAACAAGAATTGTAAGGATGGTGCAGGACCAAGCTGTGTTTCCTTCTGTTTGTCACTGTATGTTGAAACCCACTCAGGTTTCCACATGGAGCGATGCTACTGAATACTTCATATGTTCAAAAGGAGTTCTGTTAGACTTAGGTGGGCACAAGAAAGACTTCATAGGGGAGGTAAGCAGAGAGTGGGTTCTTGAAGGGGTCCCAGGTCAGCAAGAAGGTGGTTTCCATATGTGTTTGTGGTTTATAGACAACCTGAGTGAATATGAAGGGGAGAGTGGAGGCAGAAAGATTTGTGGCCCTGGGAAACTTGGAATGCCGTGTATACAATGAATTTTTCTTTCTCAGTAATTCCTTACTCCTTTCGACCATTAAATCTAGACCAGTGCTCTTCAGTAGAAATATAACGTGAGCCACATATGTGATTTTAAATTTTCTAGTAGCTCCAGTACAAAGAGGGAAAGAGACATGAAATTAATTCTAATAAGGTATTTTATTATATCACACATCTTCAATCTATCATTTTAACCTATAGAATATCATACTTATTTTTTAACATGAATAAAAAATGAGTATTTTACTTTTTGAAAACTAAGTCTTTAAAATCAGTGAGAACTTGATAGTTAACAGCATATCTCAACTCAGACCAGTGCTCAATGGCCCCAAGTAGCCAGAGGTTATAGAACTGGCTGACAGAGATCTAATTCAAGCAAAAACCCAGGGAAGGCAGACACAAAATAACCCAGAGAGAATGCAGCCAAAATCTTGGTTTCTGAGCTCCTGAAGAGACTCGGGGGACTCAGTTGTAGCAACCATTTTGAAGATGAAGACTTAAATGGGGAGCCAGAGAGACAATCAAGGAGAAGAGGAGCTGGGGAAGTGGTGGAAATCAGCCCCTTCCACCTTCAATAGAAAAAGAGAAGGAAATCTGGCCTGTGTAGAGACAGGAATAGAGCAGCTTGAGAGAGCGCTTCCATCCCTTCCTCCACTGAGGGGCTAGAGACATGTTGACATATCAAAGGAGCAGAGGCTGGGTCTTCATCTCTCCCCTGGGCATTCTGCATCATAGTGTCTGGAGAGAAATCTGAGTTTGGAGGAGTAGACAGGGTTCTAGGAACAGCCTCATGAGATTCTGCATCCCAGCAGGTCCCCAGAAAAAGTATAAAAGAGCTGGGGGCCAGCTTCCTGGGACATAGCTGGGACCACTATAGGGGTAATGGTAAAAGTCAAGGCCATATTTTGCTTCCAGGAAAGAAACTGTAGCTGGAAACCAGCTACATACACCTCAAAAGAGCCTTGAAAAGACAGAAGGCCCCAAAGAGATCCTTCCCAATGCCCAGACTTCATCCCCCAGGCAGCATTGCAAGGTTTCATAAAAACAAAAAACAAAGGCAGGATCCTGACAGTCTGCCCCCTAGGAGTTGCCTGCTTCAAGCTCTCCTACTGCTGGCCCTACTCTCACAGTTATGCATCCTGAAGTACCTGATCATCTTGTAAGGTACCCCAGAGCTTAACATGGGGTCTAGCCACCAAACCTCGGCCTAAGCCTGGGTGTAACTACCAGGCTTCTGACCTTCTCATGTGGTTTATGTTGATAAACCATAACTGTCATTTTGCTCATAGGGACCTCGTTCAAGGTACAAACTCCCTAGAACCTCCTTTTCCTCTTTTGTACAATGGAAACATTGTTTTTTAAGTGCCGCCAAGTCGATTCCAACCCATAACAACCATAGCCGTATAGGGTTCCCAAGGAGCAGCTGGTGAGCTTGAACCACCGACCTTGCAGTTCAAACGACTTTGCAGTCTGATGCATTAACCCACAGTGCCACACCAGGACTCCACAATGGAAATAGTGACCCTTCTTTAAAACACAGGTAGATGGGAGCCTCAAAACAAAACATCGAGGTGAAATCCCATCAGTGCCTGGAATTTGTGGCTCTAGGCCTAGAAGTGACATATTGGTCACTGTCCAGCCAAGAGGACTTGACATGAAAGGGGGCACATCCCAGGGGTTTCACTGCTCACAAACAAAATTGTGCCTTCTTCTCTACAGCCCTGACACTCAGATACCTGAAAATTTCCCAGTATTCTTTCATTTCTTTGTCTTAAATATGCCTATCATTTTGCCTAAAATCCTCTTTTAAAAAATAGTTAAAATGAAAAAGACAAAACTAGAGGGACAAAAAATAAATCAGTAGTTGTCAGAGACTGAGGTTGTTATAAAGGGCTCAGAGGAATATTTGCAGATGATGAAAGTGTTCTGTATATTTTCTTTTCCTTAATGATTTCCAAATAACAAACGTAGAAAAGAAAGGTCAGATTGTACTGGGTGTCACTGAGGTCTTTCTTGGGCTGGGAATGAATGCTATCTTAGAACGACTCACATCCCCTTACTCTGGTGTAGATCTTGGCTGCCAATATACCTGCCAATGCCAGGCTGGCACTCCAACAGGGACCAACAAGACACCATGAGTGCTCCTTCATGGCAGTGGGGTGAAGATTCAGCTGGCTCAGATTTGTGAACCCTGGGTGTTTGCGCATTGAGTGAATTATGCCTAGGTCCAGCTACTCAGAGCAGGAACGATTCTATTTGCCTGTCCTCTGTGGGCCCTTTAGGCTACCCAAGCGTAAGATGTCAATCACACTGAAGCATGTGGCCACCTGCCAGACGGCAGCTTTGCTCTCTGGTGGCCTTGCAGGGACAGGTGGCAGGGCTGCAGGAAAGAGAGAAGGTAGAAAAGAAAAAAAAAAAATTACCTTGCTGAAACCTTTGGTGACCAAGTTGATTGCAAGCTCATGGCTGACCCCATCCACCCAGATGACATCCTTTTCTCCTATGGGTTCTGAGAGGAAGGCTCTCAGTTTGGGAGACATGTGATCCATCTTCTACAAGAGTAGGGGGTAGATAAAAGGATTAGGAGGTGCCTGACTACTCACAGTGTGAGTGGATATTGGGGAACTCCCTCAGCCTAGGCCAGACAGATGGCAGGCTTCCTTTTTCCATCCAGCTTTTACTGAGAACTTTTGGATGCCAAGTACAGTACCCTGACATGTATTCCCACTTGGATGGGTTAGAAAAAGTGTAATGATGTCCACAGACAAGTCAGATAAATCCTCATAAAAAGGACATGCTTTATATTGTTGTTGTTGTTGTTAAGTGCCTTCAAGTCGGTTCCGACCCATAGCGACCCTGTACAGGGTTTCCGAGGGTGTAAATCTTTACGGGAGTAGAAAGCCTCATCTTTCTCCCGCGGAGCGGCTGGTATTTTCGAACTGCTGACCTTAAGGTTTGCAGCCCGATTCGTAATCACTACGCTACCAGAGCTCCTTTATATTAAGAACTATAATTGGTGCCTTCCCAGCTCTTTCCCTTTTAAATGCTTAAAGAGATATCTTGTCTCTTTAAGCTAATTAACCTACCTTCTCACTTAACCAGCTACCACTTTCTCATACCTTTAGTTTAGTATTTATTATACTTCACAATAATTGTTTGGTGCAAGTAGCAGAAAACAAAATGGATGAAGGTTAAAGAAGACATGCCACTTTGAAGTCCAGGGGTGGAGTGGGCTTCAGGTATGATATAGTCAGGGTTGCCACTCCATTTCCTTTTGATTCTTTCGACTTTTTCTCCTTCTTTTGTCCTCATCCTCAATTGCTTATCCTAATGGTTGTAAAATTGCTGCTTTAGTACTCATATTCTCCAATAACTTCATAAAAAAAGAGGAAGAAAGAGAACTCATCTTCAAGCAGATGCTTCATCCAGTCCCTAAGACCTTTATTGGGTGGCCACTATGAGCTTAGGATAGGAGCCTTATGTCCCAGTGCTAGATCTGGGTATAGTTAGATTTTTCTAAACTAGATGAACTGTGAGTTCTGGACTATTATCCTGAGATATTTGCAGATGATGAAAGTGTTCTGTATATTTTTTCTTTAATGATTTCCAAATAACAAATGTAGAAAAGAAAGGTCAGATTGTACTGGGTATCACTGAGGTCCTTCTTGGGCTGGGGATGAATGATATCTTAGAACAACTCATATCCCCTTACTCTGGTGTAGATCTTGGCTGCTATTCTACCTGCCAATGCCAGGCTGGCACTGAGAAGAGGAGATGGGTTTTAAAGCATCCACTATAATGTCCTATTATAGTCCACCCCTGGGGCTATCCAAAGCCTGCTTGCACTCTTCCCTTACATCATTAAAAATACCCACACTTGGTTAAAACAGACTCACTTCCTCTCCCCAAAGTGATAACCCTGTGATTCCTTCAGTTACTGGATCCAAGGTCATATTTTTCTGGGAGATGTGTCATAATCTCCATCAATGGGCAACAGGTCTTGTGCATACAAGTTCAGGGACTGCTCTGAGGGACAGGCAAACTCAGGGCATAGTTGGCTACTTTATCAATTCAGTTCCCTTAAAAACCTAATGGATTTCTTCTAGTTAAGCCTATGGGCTGGTAGGTAGAGCCAGAGAGCTCAGAGCATGATCCTTGAGCTGGCTGCCAGCCTCTGTACCTTTGGTCTTCAGATTATTGGCCTTTCCATCTATGAGGTTAGATAGCACCTAGATTTACTCCCTTTTCCCCAGCTGTATCTCCTCCAAATGCATCTTCATAGTAAAGTTGTTGTTGTTGTTGTTAAGTGCCGTCGTGTTGGGTCCGACCCATAGCGACCCTGTACAGGGTTTCCGAGGGTGTAAATCTTTACGGGAGTAGAAAGCCTCATCTTTCTCCCGTGGAGCGGCTGGTAGTTTCGAACCGCTGACCTTAAGGTTCGCAGCCCGATTCGTAACCACAAAGTAATTGTCCCCTAATCAAGGTTGGAATCCAGATGTTTGGGAGAGACCTGGGAATTGGGATTGATAATCTTAAAGGCCCTGATATTTTATCCTGGTAAATTACCTGATTTTATGCCTATGTTCTAACTTTAGCTAGATAGATCAACTTTTCAACCCAGCATATTTGCTTATCAATTTCCAATCACTTTAGATTGCAGACCACAGACAGAGGGTCCTATTTAAGACCTTAATGAAGATTTCTAGAGACAGCCAGAGTCCTGAATGTTTCCTATAAAATCCTGAAATGTCTCCACAAACATAAGGTCTGAATCCTAAGATAAAACAGGACCAACTTAACCTATCAGTTTGCTAGAGAAACATCCCTGTCTTCCAAATTTGAGTGAAGACATCCTTATTTCTCTCTGCTTAAATGCCTTTTCTTAGCTAATGCCACACATTTGTTATTATTGTTGTTAAATTCCATTGAGCTGGTTCCAACTCATAGAAATGCTGTATAGGGTTTCTGAGAAGCTGGTAAATTTGAACTGCCCACCTTGTGATTCAAAAGACCTTGTGGTCTAGTCCAGTACAGATCCTACAGCACAGTACCAGAACTCCACATTTAAGACTTATTAATTGCAGCACCCCCTTCCTACTACCAGTTTTGACAGTTCATGTTGCAAGAAATAGAAAATAAAATTAACTAATATAATATTTTAGTTTCCTAGTGCTGCTGTAATAGAAATTTTATGAGTAGGTCACTTTAAAAGATAGAAATTTGGATTTCTGGGGCAAGATTGCAGAGTAGGCAGATATGCTGAGCAGACTCTGCAACAAGGACATGGGAGGTCAAGTGAAACAGATATGGACAGTGATCCTGGAGCCCTGAGCTTCAGAGAATAGGACAGAGAAGTGGATTGATTAAGTGATAACTAGACGAGAAAGTTGAACAGGTGCAATGAAAGAGAAAACAAAAACAAACAGGCAGGTAGTCAGCTGGTCTTGAGCAGCAGCCATCTTGAGCTTTTGTGAGCAACTGTTAATGCAGTGACCTGAAGGCACAGGACACAGAGATTGGCATCAAAAACAGTATGTTTCTATGTTGTTTCCTTCACCCTTCTACTAGCTGGCAGTGTGGCGAGTTCCCACCCTAGCCAGTCCGAGGGCCAGTGGCACCCCTTCCTGCACAGCCTCTGCTCTACCTGGGGTCAAGTTCTGGGAATACCACCACTGCATCTGAAGGTTCATGAACCACCTCTGAACTATGCTATACAAACAGCAGAGAACTGCATTCACACTTCCAATCTCTATCACATCTATGAGGAGGCAAGTGATAGGTGCCTGAGAGTATACCAACATATAAACATCAATTAAATATAAATATACAACACTACAATGTCTCTGAGAAAACAACACAATTTCAATTTGCATGAAAAACAAGACAAAGTGACAAACAAGTGGCCAAAATTGTCAGAAAATATAATACCAAAACTGGCCTCAGAACTAATTGATAAAAAATTTAAAAGAACGACACTTAGATACCTTCGTGAATTGATAGAATGATCAAGGAAACTGCAGATGAAATTAAGGAAATCACAGACAAGAATTCAGGAAAACAGCAAGAACAAATTGACAAAATAAATGAGAAATTGGAAACCATACAAAAACAGCAATTAGAAAGTCAGAATATCAATACTAAGACTTCAGAAATAGAGAATGCGTTGAAAGGGCAAAGAAGTGGAACTGAATTAATGGAAGGCCAAATTAGTGAGCTTGAAGACAAATCTCTCAATATTCATTAGCTAGGAACCCTGGTAACGTTGTGGTTTATGTGTTAGGTTGCTAAGTGCAAGGTCAGCAGTTTAAATTCAGCAGTAACGCTGTGGAAGAAAGATGAAGCTTTCTGCTCCCATAAAGATTTAGAGCCTTGGAAATCCAATACATGGTTGATATGGGTTAGAACCAATTGGACAACACACCACTGCTAGAGAAGAATCAGAAAAGAGCAAAGAAATCCGATGAAAGTCTAAGATTTATGTGGGACACTACCAAAAAGAATAAGGAGCTCTGGGAGCATAGTGGTTACGAATCCGGCTGCTAGCCTCAAGGTCGGCAGTTTGAAACTACCAGCTGTTCCGTGGGAGAAAGATGAGGCTTTCTGTTCCCGTAAAGATTTACAGCCTCGGAAACCCTGTGCAATGTCACTATGAGTGACACTGTGGAACCGACTCCACAGTACTTAACAAAAAACAAAAGGAATAACTTACATGTGATTGGAATTCTAGAACAGGGAGAAACCAATAAAAGAAAAAAAAAAAAAAAGCAGAAAAATTTCAAGAGTTGTTGAAAAAACTTCCCTAATATCTATCAATTACTCACATGCAAATTCAAACTAAAGCTGAAGAAAATGTAAACAAGTCCACAAGAGCCAAAATATGACCTTGAATATATCCCACCTGAATTTAGAGATCATCTGAAGAACAGATTTGATACGTTAAACACTATAAGACCGAAGACCAGAAGAGTTGTTGAATAACATCAAGAAGAAAGCAAACATACATGAAGAAAGCAAACAGTCAATGAGAAGAAGACAAGAAAGAAGGAAAAGTTCAAAAAGGATGTCAGAAGAGACACTGAAACTTGCTCTCCAGCGTTGTTGTTGTTGTTGTTAAGTGCCCTCGAGTCGGTTCCAACCCATAGCGACCCTATACAGGGTTTCCGAGGGTGTAAATCTTTACGGGA